GGGCAAGCATCAAACGGGAAGCTGATCCTCAAATGCATCATGTGAGGAAAATGACATAAGCTTTAGCTAGTTTTATCATGAGGTCATGAAATTGTCATAGTTACAGTATGGCACAAACCTTTGATGGAAACATGAGTATGGTGTGCTATTGCAACACAATCAATAAAACATGTGTTAATGTCATATTTCTATTTTTGGAATTGATGGATGTTTGGCTGTTTTTTTGTCCCAATCACCCAAAACAGCGCTAAGAGGGTTTGCTAATGTTGAAAATGATCAGCCTTGCAATATAGAACCATTGTGTACTCTCCGAATGCTCTAGATTAATGGTTCCCAACCTCTTCATGTGGTCGGACCCCTAATCAACCACAAAGCCAGATAGCAAGCACTAATACACTAATATACTAACCAAACCAAACCTAACACTCATTTCAGCTTTGACTTCTTAACCCATCCTAACTAACCCTGAGTAATCTATTGCAGTAGAATGCAGTAGAGATACAGAAAGACTTTTCCTGCAGTAAAATGTGTTCAATAACATTTTGGAGGATGGTGGTTGTGATTCCACACACAGTGCATGTGAAATTATATCAAAGTATGAACTCAATTGTGTGATATATATATGCTTACACTAGCCCAAATTTATGATAAGATGTGCTGTCCCAGTCAACCAAATGTTACAAAAAAAAAGATTTAGACAAAAGGGTATATCACACGTCTTTGGAATATGATATAACCTTGTTTCATCTTCAGATTGGGAGTTCACGTCTTCAGTATTACAGAAATGTATCATGTGTTGGTCTAATGTTTTTTAATTTATGGCAAGAAAGGTTCCACAAGGCAGAAATTAAAAAACTGTACCAATCACCCTTTAAAAGAAGTAGCTACCACAATATAAATGTTTAAATCCCACATTTAAAACTTTAAAAGGTCCAGTGTGTAACATTTAGGGGGGTCTATTGGCAAAAGTACAATACTACTGTTACACCAAAATTCTTTCCCTTTCAGAAACTGTAGTTCCTCAGGGAATCCATGTCTATTCATTCAGTATTCAAATACCACCAGGGTAAGTACAGTAAGACAGTTTACTAACATAATGTTTGCACTTTTTTACAATGTCATAAATAGCCTACTCCTGCACATTCTATAAACTCATGTTAATTAAATTCAGATTACACAACGTTAATCTGCTGGTTCTCCATCACAGGAGCATGCCTTCATCCTTCAGGGGGAGTCATGGAAAGATTGTCTACAAGCTAGAGGCCAAGCTGTGCAGGAGTTGGAGGATGGACCATACAGTGGAAAAGGAGATCAATTTTGTCTCCAATTCCTTTCCAAACCTTCAATCTCTGATGGTGTTTAAAATATAAAAAATATATATACACAAATCTCTGATATGTCACTAGACAGAATTATAACACAGCATACTATGAGGAGACTATTTGTTATAAGTTACAGTGGGGGCCTTTGTCTTGGATGCAGCACTCTTGTTGCAGAAAAGAAGAGAAACGGACTACACACAGATAGTATTTGCTGAGGTTTTGAGATATCCAGCTCTGAATTCATTTCCAGAACATTTCATGGTAGGGAAAGCACAGTTGTAATTAATAGCAATAAATGGATTCCAATTAGAGGCTCCAGCTATTGCACATGCTCAGTCGCATGTTTGGTTTCCTGTAATACTACACTAAAAGCCATTTGCTCCATATGTGCTTTCCCTGCTATGCAAGTAAAATTGTCTGCTGTGAGGAAGGCACAATAGAATTTGAAATTATATTTGTGCAGCAATTTCCCAGTTATTGTGAATAATTGTGCTGTGGACAGTTTTCATAGATATCATTTCCTCTGTAGAAAGTAGTTCCAGTGCAGTGATACTCACTCCTGGTCCTGACGACCTGGGTGTCTTTCGCTGCTCTGTAACTGTAATAAATAATATTTATAATAATAAATTTGTACTGTATTGTCTAGCAAATGGCAGTAGATCAACAGTAATTGTTTTCTCTGTTTATTGCATTCCAGTCACACCAAGTTGGTTCAACAAACAAAGAGATGGGGTTTTTCTCAAAAGGAAATGCACACATGGATGTGACCGTTGACAGGAGAGCTTATGCTCCAGGTAGTAAAATTCTTCTTCAAACATGGTAGGTTTAAGTCATGGAAGGATGACAAAAAAAACCTGTTGCCATGTGATGGCTGTTACACCCAACATTTTGGACAATTATAATAAAACAATCTGCAAGAATGCTGTTGACATTATAGTTGCCTTATCAAACTTATTACTTTTGCCAACAAGAAATAAATTGAACTTTTTTTTTTTTTTTTAAAACAGACGTTGTGACATGTCATGCAGGAGAAGCACATGTGGAAGTAATAACACCGGCCGCATTCCATTTAGTCCATTCCAGTACCCTGGTAGTGTGTGCTGGCTTACACCTGTGCTTATTATGTCTGCCATGAAAATGGTCTGTTGTCAGTGATGGTTTTAGTAAAGCATGAAAAAAAGAGTTGATAGAAATTTGGGTTAAAGTTTGGAGTTGCTAGTTCTGTTACCTGATATACGTTCATTAAACTAAATAAAAGAAAAAAGACCATAATTGATCAGAGTTGGTCTGATACAGTAGAACTTTCAAATAACATGCATGAAGTAAGATGTGGGTGGGAATTAGCTTTTCAGAATCATTCATATAAGATGAGTAAGTTTTGCTGTCTTTGTATAATACACATTCTGGAGCACCTATGTGTTCCTGTGTGGCAAATGACAATTAATCAAAACTATTGTGTTGTTCTCCTCATAGGTGAAACTATCACAATTGTTGCAAAAATCCACAATACCTCTACCAGTGAGATGACGCCCAAATTCAGTTTAATCCGGGATGTGATATACCGTGCCCACGGCAATACCAAAACTGAGAACACCGTTATTCACAAAGTGGCTGGCGACTGTATTAAAACCAAAACACAGAAGCATGTTAAGTGTGCAATGAAGATTCCCCGTGATCTGCTTCAGACAATCCAGAATTGTGACATTATCTCAGTGGAATACCATTTAAAGGTATGCAACAGTGTATCTTTATTTAAGTATAGTATTTTTATAGATGTACTTTTGAGCTTGTGAGAAAACCTTTGACCCATAAACATTGATAAAGATTTTTCAGATTTGTTGAGGGTATCATATGCTCTCTTGCTATTCTATTTTAAAAAATAAAGCATCATCTGCTTTTTTACTCAGGTGTACCTGGACATCAGCTTTGCTTTCGACCCAGAGATCATTTTCCCTGTGGTCATGTTTCCTCCCGTTATGGCTGCACATTTCTATCCAGCTGGGGCTATTGGGGGCCCAAGCAACAGCGACTTCCCTCCCCCTGCGGTGGCTACGGGTCCCTATCCAGGTGGGGCTTTTGGGGGCCCAAGCAACAGCGACTTCCCTCCCCCTGCGGTGGCTATGGGTCCCTACCCAGGTGGGGCTATTGGGGGCCAAAGCAACGGCAACTTCCCCCCCCCTCCGGTGGCTATGGGTCCTTATCCTACATCCCCACATTCAGGCACTTATGGACAACCAGGAGTCCAGAATTATTCAGCACCACCACCTGCATACCCTGCTCACACGAGTGGGGACTACAATAACCCAGTGCCAATGGCTTCTCCGTATGGATCTCCATTTTCATCTTCCTCATCGTCTTCTGTGCTTCACCCTCCACCTACTGCTCCAACATTTCACACACCCCCATGTGCCCCAGATATCAACCCCCCTCCTTATCCTCCACCGTTAAACGTATCCCCGACTGCTCCTTCGTACAACATGCTGCCTTCTGCGCCAATGATGAACTCCGACTTCCTGTCTCAATCAGATGAAGCTCCTCCGGCATATTCGCTCCTCTTCCCACCTTCTGCTGCGGAAAAATCGGATGCAAAATAATGTACGCCAGTAGTTAAAATGTGCAATCAATCACCTGAATCGTGTCTTTAACACTATATTAAAATTAAAAAGCCATTTTGAACAATATGTAGTATTCGTGAAAAGAATAATATACAAAATAGGACTTTTGCTTTGTATGTGATGTGTTGTTTTCTGGTCAGTTCCGGTTTGTAGTTGGCTTTGTTCAGCTGATAACATCATTACTCAAGCCCCAGTCATCGGGATACACTGTGCATTTTATGTGCCTTGTTCAGCTCAAGTGTGCTAGACTGATTTTTTATTTTTATTTTTTAACACTATACTTTATACTTACTTCCTCTACCTCTTCTGTTTGAAGGCCATAGTTGACAAACTGGAAAACGTGCTGTGTCAAGAAATTTTATTTAACTATGTATTCTTTTAAATTAAAGCAACCAACTAAGAGCCTAATATGTATATTTTGCCCCCAAAATTAAGTCTGTTGAGTTTAACATGGGACGACTACCTCTGTCTATTTTAATACACAACTTTGCGAACCTTATTTGTTCTACTTTCAAATGTTTTCTCTACATTTGAATAAAGAACTGTTGCGTAAAAGTGTCTCTGTCAATTGTTCACTTTGTCGTAGCTACACCCTTTTCTTTCCACTTTTAAAGATTAATCATTAGCCATTTTTCTGATTAATGTAAATGTGGAAGACACTGATGTATTAAGAACGATTTATATTTACACATTTTCATTTCCCCTGTGAAATAGCCACGTTGAACATAGTACTTAAAAAACTTTATAAGATGTTATTCACCTTAACGTTGTGTCGGTTATATAGCCTTGAGTAGTATAGTGTTACGACAGCAGAGTTGATGTAAAGTGTGTTGTAATAAATGTTGTAACTGGGTTTTATCTTATGACCTCACTCTTGGGGTGGAGCCATTTAGAGTTCAGTTGCTGATCTGAATGTCAGTAGTAGTAGTAGTAGTAGTAGGACTTAGCAGCCAGCACATCTAAAATGTCTCGGATAACGGACTTTAAACTGACTCATGAAGCTGTCAACCCACAGGACACCTTTTCGGCGGGAGATACTGTGACAGGCACAGTCACTTTCACTCTGACAAAAGAAACCAAAGTGAAGAGCCTTATTGTGAAACTGAAAGGAGACGCGAATGTACACTGGACGGAGGGCAGTGGAGACGACGAGAGCAGTTACAGTGCGAACAAGAGATACTTCAAACATAAAGAATACCTGGTGGGAGAACATTCCAGAGGTAGGCCAAAGGAATGTGGAGGCCCTTTGATTATCTTGCTCATCTTGGAGAGAAGTTGTGTTGTTTTTAAAGCACGGGTGTTGGTTTGATAAGATGCATCTGTGTGTCCTGTTAACTCCTTTCTGTCTTTTCAAACAATACTTAATCTATTTTTTGTCTCAGTTTTCCCACATTACATGATCTAATTAAGAAGGCTTGAATACCTTATTGTAATCTAGCAGCTAGAAATGATGTGCATAAGTAAAAAATTATAAAGGATCCTCTTTAATTTCGTATGGAAGCCGAGAACGGCCATGGAATTTTTTTTTTTTTATATACACTGTTATCTCGTGATAACGACTTATTAATTCGTTTTCTCGAGATAACGAGATTATTCCTAATTGACAGACACTGTTATTAGTATGTCAGTAGTCATCTATTGTCACAACCTTTTAGGTGAAATTATTAATAAATATCATATATCAATATTTGGTTCAGTTTTTTGTGTTTTCTGAAAAACCTGAAAAAATGACGTAAGAAGGTGTCGAAATATTGGTAACTGAGGATCTGTCTACGTGTCAGGTGACTGATCTTATTGCAAAGATTACATTGTCCAAATCCACTATTTCTTCATATAAAAATCTTTGGTGTTTTTTTTATCTTTAAACTCATTCTGAAGTACTGAACATAAATGTTGATTTACGCATATTCCCAGAACCACCATTGATAAGCTATTTACAGGAATTGTCAATGATTCTCACTTCTTTTTTTAGGCACTGTACTTCCCCAAGGAGACCACTGTTTCGCTTTTGAGCTTAAATTCCCACAGGGGTAAGTGGGAATATCTAGCATCTAGCATTAGCACTGTATTATTGTTTTCTTTCACATAGAACTGCATTTGTGGACTGCTTCTGTCTTACAGGGACTTTCCGTCATCCTTCAAAGGGGAATATGGAAAGATCGTCTACATCCTTGAAGCAAAGATGTCGAGGAGCTGGCGAATGCCTTCGAACGTACAGAAAGAGCTCAAATATGTGTCAAAGTGCTTTTCACTCCCTGGCCAAGTAGCGGTATGTGTGACATTACAATGATACAAATTGATCTACTTCTGGAGCAACTGAACTGGCTTTTGGCTGCTGAAAAGGAAAATAGTTAGGATATTTGAAGCAAACAGTGGAATCCATAAGCACTGTTGTCATTCAGTCAAATCAGCGATTTTTATTGGTAAGAGTATATATACAAATTAACTTCCATCACATTAGCTAGAATACAAAAATCTGTCACAACACTGGGAAGGAGGATTGAAACCAAATGCAATAAGAGAGGTGAAAATAAGCAGGGCAGGGCACATAGTCAAAACTTGAGGGTAAACAGACAGGAAGTACATTTAAGCAAGACACAAGTGGAAGAGAATTACAAAATAAGACATGAAATAACTCCAAACTATGACAGAAATGTAACAGAATCACATCAATCTGTATATCAATACATCTCTACTTTAACAGATCATAATAATATCCAGAATTAGATGTGAAACATCGCCAAAGTAAACATAATTTGGAATATCAAATAAATCTGAACCAACTACTCACTCAGGAACAATAACAGGCAGTTGTATTTGTCACTGATACAAGTGTTGTATATGCCTGCTAAAATCCCAATTAAAAAGGGGGTTAAAAAAACACACTCAGCAACAAAGGACAAAAAAACTCTTCAGTTCAAGTACAAACCATGAATGAACTCAGTCAGGACACTCTTAGCACAAACTGACAGAATGGAATAGAGGGGCTTGAGGGAAAGGCAATACTGTTAACAGTTTAAGCAACAGGACATACAATAATCTGTTTGTATCATATGTCAATTAATATGCTTAATAACGGACTATAATAATAGAAGATACCACTAACTGAAGAGAGTGTTGAAGTGCACATACAGTATTGTTCAACACCAGCTTAAACCTGGCAAAAGAGGATTTATGTTAAGGTGTTTCTGAACAAGGATGGCTTTATCTAAAAGTTAATAGCCAGATGACTTTCTCCTGGACTTTGAATTTCAACCATATGAGGCTTTGAGTTGACATGAAATAATGTTTGTTTGTATGGTTTATTCTAGTGTCCTCAATCTGGTTCCGTGAATAAAGACGTTGGGGTTTTCTCCAAAGAACGGGTCCAAATGTCTGCTACCGTTGACAAAAACATTTGCTCTCCAGGTAAAGTCATTCCAGCTTACTTCAAACACAACTAAGTGTCAATGCCAGATATAAAATACAGTGTATTGCCAGATATAAAATACAGTTTATTGCCAGATATAAAATACAGTTTATTGCCAGATGATATCAGATGTTTACAGCTTTGTTCATTCATGTTTCATTACTCAGTCACAAGGAAGTTGTTCAGGTGTTAATTTATTAACTTTATTAACAATTTTACAGCACTGAAATACTGTATATGTGTATGTCTATGTGTGGTCATATTATTCCAGAAAACAATCAATAATATGTTTTTTTTGATAGGTGACACTTTATCTTTTGTTGCCAAAATCAGCAACTCCTCTTCCAAAACAATGAGGGCCAAATTCAATTTACTGCAGACAACAGTGTACCGCGCCAGTGGTTCCACTACTTCCAGTGAGAAAAGTCTGTGCAAAATGGTTGGGGACAATATCCCAGTGAACTCGGAGGAAACTGTCTCCTGCCAACTGAAGGTTCCTGTCGATGCCATCTACACTCTCCATAATTGTGAAATCCTCTCAGTTGACTATTGCGTCAAGGTATTTAATTATGTAATGGTGATGTTACATCAACTCAGGAGTGAATTCATTGCTTTGGCAGTTTTATTCCAATAATTTCTGATGTAGACAGCTTTTACTTTTTGATATATTTCTGTTTCCCAGGTGTATTTGGACATCAGTTTCGCCACTGACCCAGAGGTGATATTTCCACTGAACATCGTTCCTTCTGGCTTTGCTAACCTTCACCCTGGTCAGGCTATGGGTCCTTACCCAGCTGGGGCTGTTGGGGCCCCAAGTTACAGTGACTTCCCTCCCCCTGCCTTCCCTACTGGTCCATATCCTATGCCAGCAGGTCCAGGTGCTTATGGATACCCAGCACCAAATCCCACTCAACAGCTGAACCCAACAAGTGGCTACAATCAGTGGCCACAACAGCCTGCTCCGTATGGCTATCCAAATGCAGCTTTCCCACCAGTGCCGTATCAAGCCCCTACTGCTCCACCTATGTTTCAACAGGGAGAACACAAATAGTCTAGAAATACAAACACATGATGAGGGAATTTGAGCTATTTGTAATGTTTTTCACTGGGTTTATTACTTTTATTACAAATGGTTATTCATTCATGACAATGCAAAACAAATGTTTTCATGCCCTTTAATTCGACCAGTAGCTGTGTCCTCATCTTCACTGAGACATGGCTCCACCTCAACATCCTGGACCAGTGTGTTCAGCACTGACAGAACACAAAACACTGGCAAGACGCACCAAATCATAACAGATGTTATCTCAGGACTGCCGGAAGTACTGCTTTTAATGGATAAACAACTGTTTCCTGTTTCCTGAAGAAACAGGAAGGTGACCCATATACGGAGTTGCTGCAGCGGCCTGGGTTCATTATGTGAATTATGTAACTTGGTTTTAAAAATCCAGGCTTTCCAGAGTATTGAAAGACAGAAACAGAATATGCAAAAGAGTAAACAAATGAAGACACAGCACAAACGGTAGCCCACAGGGATTTATTTTTTATTTGAAAAGGCCTAATGACCAGTAGTAGTTACAGTAGTTACAGGTGGACAGTCACCCATAAGACATGTATGTTGCTTTGATCCTTGGACAATAACAATAGCATTTCAAAGGAAATCTACACTTTTGGGACCATGTATGTCCCCCTGAAGAGATATGAGGAGGAATGCATGGATGCTCCATTCATCTATATAAGTGATGTATGCATAAAGGGAGGTTGCATGAAGTTTTGATCTCGCCTACTTGTATGATTTATGACATATGTTGCAAGTGGCAAAAAAATACTCTCATATTATTTCACACATTAAACATTAAACCTATAAGTGGTAGTGCTAACTACCAATTGCACAATATACGTTTACTCTGTTCTAAGTTTAGAATCATAGGCTATACATAGGCTGCATCCAGACTGCAGGCCAAAGTGACGCTAATCAGATTTGCTCATATATCTGATTTTAGCATGGCAGTGTGAACAGCATAAATCATATGGAATCTGATCTTTTTAATTCATTTTCAAATGTGGTCTCAATCACATCCACCTCAAATTTCTTGCAATGTGATCTCAGTGTGAACAGTCATATCAGAATGCTTGTGACTTTTACATCACTTTAGATTGACATTCATCGTGTGGGTCACTTCAGGACTGGGAATCTGTTCACACTGGATTCTGATGTAGACCACATTCAAAAAATAATGTGAACAGCCAAACAAAATAATAAATAAGTAAATATCTGCAGCTGCAAGAAGAAACTTTGGCAGGTATATTGTCTCAGGCTGATTGCAACTCATATTCAGCACTACAGGAATGACATTGGCTCCCAGGAAGTCAGGCTCTCAGCAGTCACCACACTGGGGAGTGTCTGAATGCACCAAGACCCGTATAAAGGTGTCCACCTGTAGCCCTGCATCTTTTGTGGTGATAGTGACAAGACTGGGATATGGGCAGAGAGGCAAGCTTCCAGACATGCTCATGCTCCAAGAAAGGCCACCTCACCCCCTTTTTGGTCCCACACAAGAATTCACTTTGGTCTTCCTTTCAAGGAAACATATGAGTATTTTGGAGAAGGGACAAAAGTTTACATAGCATCTAATTGTACCATAATCAAATTACTTTAAACAAAGCCAAAAAACTAAGGAGGATATATATATTATAATTTTACTAAGTATATAAAATGTCCAGTGTTAGTTAGATGTTCTTTTGCCTCATCTTCTTTACTAGCAGGGCAGCAGGTGGCGGACACTTGTTAACCAGACATTGTGCAATGGGAGAGACAGCAAACATAACTGACACCAACACCAACCTCTCCACCATCTGGGGAAATCGTTGGAACCTGGGACTCTTCCAAGTGCTGTCTCTGATATAGACAGATAGGCTAAACTATGTAAGACTCTCACTGGCAGTAGTTTACTGAATGTTGTCTTCCTACAGTATGTGACTCTTAAAAGTAATATATAAAAGTATATATTTTTAGATTAATTACTTTCCAGCCAGCTAGTGGTGTCAGGTCATGCCAGTGTAGTATAAATGTATATTTGCTGAAAATTGGGACAGACTTTAAAGGAAATCCATTGTATATAAGAATGAATCATATTATTTGTTCATTTCTGTTAACAGCATCACTGTGAAGTTATCATAGCAATGCCGATTCATGTTGCCTTTACATCAGGCTTGTCTTGCATGAACTGATTTCCTTCTTACTACTGAAGATAGACAAACACAACTATCACATCCACCATCAACACTTCGAATTGACTTGTTCTTGATTTGTATGTTTAATTTTGCCCACTTCCAGTTGAAGGTCTATCTAACTGATATCAGTTGCATGATGTATTCTGCTGTGGCCTGCAATTAGATTACAGATCGCCTGCTTTCAGGCCGAGGATCTAATTTAGTTAAGTGCACTTAAGACAGCCAGCCACAAAATGGCACCACTGTGACTTGTTTTGATCAGAATCAGAATCTTTATTTGTCATTGTCACAAGTACAACGAAATGTGGCTTATACTCAGGCCAAAGAAATAAAACCTGTGATGTTCAGTTTTGGTCATCGCTTCTAGTTGACTTGTGTCTTTTTTCCACCACTTCAGTTGAAGGTACAATGGGCATTGATGTCACACAACCATATCCTATAATACATTAACCTCTCTCACGCCAGAGGACCAAATCTCCTGCATATCCCACCATGGTTTTCTTCAGTATGAACTATGGTAAGTTTGGTAAACTGTAGTCAATTAAAGACTGAATGTATCCTCTGTATTTCCTATTTAATCCATGGAAATGTCCACAATACTGTATTTTGGTTGATAAAGGCCTTAGCAATTTTCCTTCCAGATTTCTTCAGTGTAAATGTAGCAACTTTTCTACCACTAGGCAGAGCTGAGAAACAGCAACGTTTATGGTGGGTGTGGTGCGTTGTAATATTTGGAAAGGAGTTTAAATAGGCTTTTATTTTCAGGTTCAGAGTCTTGACTGAAAATGAACTAAAGCATGAACAACAATCATATCTTAGAAAGATGTAAATGTTGTTGAAACGTGGGCTGTGTAAAATGAATGATGTATGGGGATTGGCTGGTAGATTACAATGCTGGTACTAAGCTCTTTGGCTCTGGTCCACTTGCATGTGACTCTTCCTCAGTGTTTACTCTGTGAGTGCCTCAACACACACCAAAGTACACATTTTATATATTTGTATAGATTTAATGAAACATGCAGAAGACGGACGAGGACATACTGAAAAGAAATAAGTCTACTTAATCTCCTGTTCCTTATCAACTTCCCCTGTATTTCCTGTGCCCCTCCTCTTGTTTCTAGGACATAAAAACTGGACAACATGTACAGTATCAAGAAAAACACCTTTGATGTTTTATTTTTAATAAAGTGTTCAACAAGGAGGCAAAATATATACTTTCCTTTATTTTCAAGTCTGTGGAGTTTAACATGTGACAGCTACTTCTGTCTGTTTCATTACATAATACTTAGCAAACCTGATTTGTTCTACTCTCACACTGGCAGTGTTTACTCCACATTTTAATAAAGAACTGTTGCGTAAAGTCTCTGCGAATCTTTCAGTGTGAGTGAGAACTATTTCTATTATAAATACTTAATTCTGTTGTATTTCTTTTATTTCTAGGCCACAAGATAGCACAGCCCTTGGTGAATAATCTAAAGATACACCTATTTCTTTCCTTTTTTATTATTATTCCTCTCTAACTAGAAAACTCACATGGGAACACTTTGTTATAACTACTTCCTTTGGTTGTATTTTTTATTTCTAGGCCACGAGGTAGCACAAACAAAACCCACATAATCTGTTTTCATCAAAGATACACCTGTTTCTTGCATCTTTGTAGATACCTCATTATGTGGCGAATCCACTAAGAATTTTGTATATTAAGCAACTTAATGAAACTTAATAATTTCTCAAGTGCCTAATATTTAACACAATACTTACCCTTAACCTCAATTCCATCTTAAATTGTGAAAACCTGACTAGCCTTTTGTGCAATTGTTTAAAAGTATGTTGAAATACATGTTTCAACTTCCTCCAGTTTAGGTAATATTTGGTGCGTTTCCATTTCCCTCTTTGGGTGGAGCCAACAGGACTCCTGCTCCACAACCACAGGTGGGACAAACGCAACGCGTCCGGCCGATACAGCCGCAATGTCTCCCATAAAGGACCTCAACCTGATTTATGAAGCTGTCAACCCACAGGACACGTTTTCTGCAGGAGATACTGTTATAGGAACAGTCACTTTCAACCTGACAAAAGAAACCAAAGTGAAGAGCCTCGCAGTGAAACTCAGAGGGGACGCGCACGTACACTGGTCAGAGGGGACTGGAGATAACAGGAGATCTCACACGGCGCACAGGAAATACTTGAAAGTCAAAGACTGTTTAGTGGCAGAAAATTCTAAAGGTAAGCCAAAGAAATGTGTTGGCCTATGTGGCCTTTGGGGTCTTTTGTGTTAATGTACTTGTGTTTGTTGCTGTAATCTAGTCTGTGGAAATCCTGATCCATCTAATTATGTTTGTAGTTATGATATTTTTACATGTTGTACATTCCTTGTATCAAACCTGTAGCAAAACTCATATACGTGTCACACATAGTTGATCCCGTGAGGACGGTTAAAAATGTTGAATACACCTGGCGCAGTTCACCTATTTCCCTAAACTCGTGTCACGTGTTCCAGTGCGCCATGTGATCGCATAACAAGATAGTGTTGAGTTTTAAAACCATGGGAGTTAGTTTGATAAGATTGATGGGCTTGTATGATTTTTTTATCGCCTTAATATCTTTATTACACATATATTGCTTTAAAAAAGTGGCACCTGAGGATCTTAACCCTGTCTGGTTATTAGGTGACTGCTGCTTTTTATTGTAGCCTATACATTGTCCAAATACATTATTCTTAAGATATGCTTTTTCAAAAAATCCAAAAAATCAGGAAATTGTTTCCTTCCAGTGCTGTCTACAATCCACAAGTTTGCACAAAACAAATGAGTCTTGACTGTTATCTATTACTTGTATGTATAGGCTACCATTATGGTACTTTTCTTATATATACACATTCTGAAGTACTGCATATACAAATGTTGTTGATTTATGATTGTGAACCACATGAAATAAAGGCTCTGTCATTCATTTGGTATCTACAGGAATTGTCAATGATTCTCACTTCTTTTTTTAGGCACTGTACTCCCTCAAGGAGTTCATCGTTTTAAGTTCAGGCTTCAAATCCCACAGGGGTAAGTGGGAATTTCTATCATCTAGCATTAGTACTGTATCATTGTTTTCTTTCACATATAACTGCATTTGTGGACTGTTTCTGCCTTACAGGGACTTTCCATCATCCTTCAGGGGGATTCATGGAAGGATTGAGTACATCCTTCAAGCAAAGATGTCGAGGAGCTGGCGAATGCCTGCTGATGTAAAGAAACAGCTCAAATTTGTGTCAAAGTCCTTTTCAGTCCCTGGCCAAGGAATGGTAGGTGAAACATGACAGTGATACAAGTTATTCTTCTTCTGCAGCACTTAAACTGACTTGTGGCTGCTAAAAAAAGGAAGATATTTAAGATAGGCCACATGACTAAGAGGAAAGGCAAACAATGGAAACAGGTTTAGCATCAGCAGCACCTGCAGTAATCTGAGAGTTTGTGCAATATGACGATATGTTAAGGAAACGTTTGCGTACACATTAGTCAAGAGAGTGTTTAAAATGTACTGATTGTATGGCTCATTAGCAACATGTGCAATATCACTGCCATGAACACCATGAACGCAATATGTAAGTTCTTGCGTAAACTCCCACATTTTGTAATAGGCACCAAAATATGTCATAATTTATTATACTTAATATAATTTTGTAGGAGATTTTATTACATATTGGGTTTTGTGTTTATTACAAAATGCAGCAGATTGTCACAAAATATAGGTTATATATACATATAAAAAGTATTACATTTTGACAAATTATTACATAATTTGTTCCTACTGTTATGATTAAAGAATCAAGAGATAGCATACAGTATAGATCAACACCATTTTAAATATTGTTAGGTAGGATTAATGTTGAGATGTTAAAGATTTAACTTTTTATGGTGAACAAGGATGGGTTAATCCAAAGGTTAATAGAAAGAAGACTTTCTCCTGGACTTTCAGCCATATTAGGCATTAAGTTGATGAAATGATGTTTGTTTGTATGGTTTGTTCTAGTTTCCCCACTCTGGATCAGTGGATAAAAACGTTGGGGTTTTCTCCAAAGGACAGGTCCAAATATCTGCTACCATTGACAAAAGGATTTGCTCTCCAGGTAAAGTCACTCTAGCTTACTTGGAACAGAACCAAGTGTTGATTTATATGGAGAACCGCAACTGCCAAAATCAAAAATAAATGAATAAATGAAATGAATGTGCCATTAAATGCAGCAAATATATGACAACACCTATTTATTTATTTTACAATTAAATTTTCCATTTTATTTATTAATGTATTACTTTTAAAATATGTTTATGCATTTATTTATGTATTATTTTCCCTTGGCATTTACCCCCTATTTATTTCCCCAAACCTATTTATTTCTTCATTTACTTTTTACATTATTCATTATGCAAATGAATAAATTAATGTCATTCAAGGTGTGTCATGCAGTGACCTCTCTGCCTATGTTGTTGCTCTGCCTCAACGCTCAGTGATTTATGGAGTTTCTTGATGGAGAGATAGCTTAGCTACTTCTTGCTGAAGTAGCTGCTAACCGGTAGTTAACTTACTGTTTATCTGGTTTGCTTTTCATGGCACAATACCAGGACTCACTGATTAAAGTACAACAACACAACTTTATAACTTTACTTAAACTTAATCATACTTTATGGAAAACATAACT